GCCCATCCGCATCGTGAAGCCACTGCGGGACAAGACAGTGCTGGCGCGGCACAAGGCAACGCTGGAGTGCACCGTGTCTCACGCCCGGGGCCGCGTGCGCTGGCTCCGCGGGGACACCGAAATCTTTGCTGGTGACAAGTATGAGATCTGCAACCTGGACTGCTACCGCACGCTCATCATCCACCGCGTGGGGCCCGAGGACGAAGACTTGTACACATGCGATGCCTTTGATGACCGCTCCACCGCCCAGCTCCTCGTCGAGGGTGAGGAGGGAGTGGTACTGGGGGCTGGTGGTGCCACCGTGCCTGGCAGCAGAGGGACACTGGCTGCCCTGTCCCCATGCCTCACTGCTTGCAATGGTCTGAGCACTAGGCTGGGGGGAGCAGGCTGGATATGGGACAGGGGTCTGTGACCCCCTTGGCTCTGCCAGCACCAGGGATGCTGCATCTCTCCAGCTCTCCCTGACTCCCTGTGTCCCTGCAGGGAGCTAGGAGCCAGGATGCGGTGCTCAGGGGGTGCACACGGACGGACAGATGCTGCTGCTAGGAGATGGAGTCATGCTTCCCCCAGGATGCAGACACACCGACACCGTCCCCGGTCTGCTCCAGCCTCAGAGCTCTGCATTAAACAGCATTTTTTTTCTGACATGGCTTCTTCCACCCCTGTGAGCCAGGGTCCCATTAGAAGGAGCGGTGGCACTGCTCTGCGTCCCCCCCAGCATCCCCGGGGAGCCCAGCCCTCAGGGCCCCCTCTCGCCCCTGCCTCCCGGCGCAGCCCCCAGCACCACACGCCGTGTTCCGAAAGGCTCTTTACTGTGTGGCCGTGGCCTCAGCAGTGTTTGGCACATTTACAAAAGAGACTGAAAAGGGGGATGTCGGCACGGCGCTGCAGGGACAGGGTTGCCTGGCAGAAACATGCAGTTCCCACGGCAGCAGGGCTGGCCGGGCTGGGCTGAGGGAGGCTCCCAAAGCAGGGGGACACCCTGGTCCAGTCTCACTGCCATCCTGCCTGCCTGGCCATGGGGAAGTCTTAGCTCACTCCGTAATAAATTAATACAAATCACAGCAAGAGAAATATATACAAGGCGGAAGCCTCTGCCCGCAGCAGTGCTCTGGGAAGGGGCTCCTGCCTTGCCCTGGCCGGAGGCTTGGCCCAACTTCAGGGCCCCTCCTGGCCACTATAAAATCCAGTCGCCAGCAAAACAGCGATGGCCTCTGATGCCATGGGGGTCCCCGCATCCCTGAGGCAGCGCAGCCTCCACCCAAAGGCTGAATCCAGCGTCCTGTCTCCCATCAAAACATTTTGAGGGGGTGCATACAGCATCACCCCAGGGCAGCATCCTCATGGGAACCGCCTGTCCCTGGCAGCCTCTGCCCCAGGACCACCCCGGTCCAGCTTAGGAAAAGGCAGGGAGGTGAGCTGCTCTGGGGAGGAGGGACGGTGTCTAAGAAAGGGGAACCTTCTGACGAGGCAGGTTTTGGGAAGCACTGCCTAGGAGCTGCTCTCAGGGCCAGGGTGGGATGGGACACACATGCTTGGGGAAGTCCCTGGCAGGGCAAAGGCTGGGGGACCTGCTCTTTGAGGAAGGGGTGTGGGGCACAGGCACTTGGGGAGTTGCTGGGTAGGGGGTGTGATGGGATGTGGGCAGGCGCAGGGAACTGCTCTTAGGGAAGGCGGGGCTCAAATATGGGGAGGCGAGGTTGGGATGCAGGATGAGTGTGTCCAGGCCATGGGGAAACACGCAGCAGCAGGGGCTCAGGGACCCCCACCCCAGCAGAGCTGCTTGCACCATGCATCCATGGGTGCTGGTGTCTCTGGTCCTTGGGCTGAGTCCCTGCCGGAGGGCTCCCCCAGCACCTCCGGGCCCCGACGGCAGCTGGGGGGCA